GGCTTCTAATCTTGCTGCTTTCTTTTTTGTTTCTTCAATACTTAGAGCACTATAAAAATTTTATTTTCTAGACTTGTGTTCATAATTGAAGAATTGGTAAAGTTCACACTCAAAAAAATCTTTTTAAGGAACATAAAACAAAAGAACAACAACCACTTTCCCTTTGTGGTCTTCCTTCTCCTCCTCCTGATCCCAGTGAAGCAAAACATGCCAGGGTTCCAGCATCATGTGTGCATCATGTGCGGGGTAGATAAAGTACAGTATTTCCTTCATGAGGGATCTGTTATATTTAACATAAGGCCCTGACTTAAAGCCCATTGAAATCAAGGTAAGACTCCCTATGAATGTCAACAAAGTAGGGGGGCAAAAGAGAGAGAGAAAAAAAAAGGTATTTGTCATTATTCTTAAATGTTTTGGCCTTCATTCTGTCTTGATTTGTGAACATAACTTTTGTGGATACTAATAATAAGCTATTTCAGTAGCTACCAGATTTGTCTACCCATTTTGATTAAAATCTTAGAAAGATGGGAGGGGAGGAGGAGCCTGAGCTGTAGTGCTAAACCAAAGGCTCCAAAATGCAGCTCTGCCTTTTCCCATCCTGCAGGCTTTTCCATAGCATTGCAACAGTAACAATGTGAAATACGGTTGGATTCTGCCCAAGCTGAAATTCTGGTTCTCCTCCTTTAAAATTTTAATACAGTACCTGCTAGGAGATTGAAAAGGTAACTTGCTAAAAAAATCCTTGGAATAAATGATATGGGGCACTTGTTATTCTGTTTATTGATAAAGCCAAATCAATGCAGCAGCTTTAGTCTTAATTATCCTCCCAGTTAGTTAATTGTAATGCACTAAGGTAATTGCTGCAGATTGGACTTCCTTTCCAATGTCATTGTGACTCGTCTCCTTCAAAGCTGCTGCCTAGGTGTTCATACTATTGCAGGCCAAGAGTCTCTTGATATTGTACTCTTTGATCTTTTTTTTTTTTCTCCATTTTAGGAAATTTTTTTTAGCTTTATCCTGGAAATACCTTTACATTAGGAAATATGTGTGAAAAATAGAGCGCAGTCTCCTTCATGAATAGTGTGTGATGACTAAACGTTATTCTGGTTGCTGATATTTCCAGTTTACGGTGGAATTTTTCGTTGAGGGCTGCTGGACACTGCAGAGAGAAGGTGGCAGCAGAGCAGGGAATGCTCTCTACCTTTCCTAGGCTACTACTTTGTTTTGGTGAATTCCACATTTGTCTCAATCTAGTCTTTTTCCTGAAAAAGTGGAGATCAAGTTAAACTTGCAACCTTTTGCTTAGTGACTCAGATTTTCCACAAGTCAAAGTACAAGAATTTCTTTAAATCCATTGCTACTTGAAGTGACTACATTGGCTTTTTTTTTTCCCCAAAGATGTTATTGAGGAAGAAAATTCCTGATATTTCTGAGGCTCTGTCAGTAAAGGTTTGGGGCTAAATGCAAAGTTTGTTTGTTTGTTTGCATAATTTTCTTCCTGACAGCATGGTAGTTCTTACTGCTATAGTGTATTTAAAGCAAACA